ATAAGTAATGGCCCAATTACATTAATTTCTAACCCAGGAGAAGAATTAGTGGTAAATAAGAATTATGAAATCATCGGAAAGGTTGGGACTAGTGATCTTTCCGTAAGAGTATTATCCGCTATTGAATTATCGGATAATTTAAATTTCGATACTGCCCAAAAATTGGTAAGCTATGTTCACAAGGTACCAGAATTATTCTACTAATAGACATATGGGTGTTTAAGAGCACGGAAAGGTTTGTAGATGGAATGATTTTGAAGTTTGGGGTGGTTACGGAACTTCGATCCAAAAGCTTCAGAAATGTAGTTAGTTGGCACGAGTATAATAATATACGTGTATATTAATATAAAATTCTAAATAATGATTTATAACTTTTGTATATCGCTAGCTAAGTCAACGAATCTTTGTTCGCTGGTTTTAGTGACGTAGAGGTCTTTGGCAGTTGCAATCCATTTTGGAGGAGCGATGGTTGCTTTGGCGAATTTGTAATTGCCGTACCCAATTACTAGTCTGTAGGCAGCTTCAGAACTTGAATGTACTAATATTTCTCCAACTTCAGTGGCAAACTCTAACACTGGTTTTGCACTAGCTGGATTTGATTTCAATGATGTATTCTGAAGCTGGTAAACGGACAAGTTGTACACGAACGTGGCCAATGTAGTAACAGTGGTGCTGAAATGCTTATTCTGTAAAGCCGCAGAATCCTTTGAAACCGATGTAATCAATTTAGTCAATCTAATCAACAACTCATCAAAAAACTCGTTATATAATACCAGACCATTATCGTTTGCTGTGATGTATAGCTGAATAAATAAGGTGTTGTTTACTAGATTATTGAGAACTTTTAAAAGCATCATGAAGAGTGGTAAATTGGACCCATTTACAATTTGCAATCCAGAGTTCACAGCATTTAAAATTATTTCTGCTGCATCAGTAGATCTTAATAAATCAGCAGTCGTGACACAAGGAACACTAATTCTCAATATATCATATCCAATAAGACGTGATTTCTCAGACCATTTATTGAAAATCTTTGGAAGATAAATTGTAATTAATTCTAATGCTTCCTTGGAATTCAATATACTTAAATTTGACGTAATTTGAGATATTTCTTCGCTTGAGAATTTGTCCTCTGCTGTCTGTTCTTCGTTGAATTTCGTCAACCCCTTAATCAACTGATCGCTTTTGAAGTCCTTGAAGAAAATAAATTGTCTTTGAGGAATGACTGACAAATTTGTATTCGCTTGAGCCGGTGGAGGTGTTGGATGTTTGTCGGCGTATGGATTATCGCTGGAGCTAGACTGTTGCCCTAGTTCAACTCCCCCTGTATTCTTCATAATAAACCGGACAACGTCTTCGGTGTAGGTAGCGGGCAATTCATTTGCGGCTAAAAACCTTTCGGCTGCAGAATAAGCATTTTCATTGGTATTATAAGGCAATTTTAATGGAGGGGCTCCGTCTTCAATATCTACGTCAAATACGTAGTCCCATTGCTTACCGTCAAATTCCTGTTTCCCTCCTGAATTCCCTGCGGAGCCAACAACGTCACCAATTTTAACCCATTCACCACCAGACCACTGGTGAGCTTCGATGGTACCGTTTGGGTTTTTGACCATTATCGTAGAACCCTCTTGTTTTCCAGGCTGCAGCAATGCATCATATCCAGGAATGTCAGTTTTTTTCAAGTCGTCGACAGATTGTTCTGCAATACTAGATTGTTGAACAGATTCCGCAAACTCTTTCAATTCTTCAGCAGGTGCTATCCTGGAGGACTCTCTTGAAAAGATTCTTAATTTATTATCTGAACCACCCACTACAAAATCGCCATTTGGTAAAACTCCTAAACACCACACTGAAATACATGGCAAGGTAATGGCCTGTATCACTTTACCGTCCCTCCAAACACGGACAGTTCTGTCCTCTGCAGAAGAAACTATGTCACCGTTAGGCAACATGCCTAGATCATAAACAAACGAATCATGTCCTGTCAACGTTTGCAATTCCCTGCCGGTTTCTAAATCCCAAATTTTAATCGTGCAATCATTAGAACAAGAAGCAAACTGCTTTCCTCCTGGCAATATAAGCAACTTTCTGATAACATCGCCATGACCCGGAATGCTCCAGATTTCCCGGTCTCCAAGCCATTTACGTATGGTTCTGTCAGCCGAACAAGTCAAAAATATATCCTTCGATGAATCTACAACTTTGGCGTCCCAAACAGACGACTCGTGGCCCGTCAAATTGAACTTCACTGACATCGACTCGAGATCCCAGACCTTAGACGTCGCATCCCATGATCCCGATATCAAATACTGCCCCTGGTGGTGCAATGAACACACATTACTCTCGTGGCCAACCAATTGATACTTCACGTATTCTTCGGGCATAGATCCTGCCACATTCACCTCCGGCTTGAGATCACTCAAATATATAATGCAATCCTTACCTCCTGATGCCACCAATGGCTCATTTCCATTATCAACGTACGTTACACTGTTAACAAACGAATTATCTGGTGAATTGAAAGCCAAAACACCTGTAATAGATGGTGTCGACCATCCCTTCGCTTCATCTTCCTGCCAAACTCTCACCGTACCATCTCTCAGTCCCGAGATAATCGTTTCATCAAAAGGTGAAACAACACTTCTCACATCTTGTTCATGACCATTCAAGGTACAACTCAACTTGAATTTATCCATTATCACACTTACTCTATCAATTAGCTTGAATTGAATCGATTAATTAAAGAAGTCGTTATCGTCAATTCTCTTAATAGTGGCAATAATAGTTGATATCCGCGCTCTGAACAGAAAACAGCAAATAGATAAAAAGACGACCAAGTAGCTTCTTCAAAGATAGAGAAATACGAAGTATAATCAATGACGCTCTTTCATTCTTTAGCTCCAGATGGAACGCACATTTTCCAGAATAGTAGAACCAAAAATTATCTTTATTTGAGTGGAAATAATGGTTTAGAGGTGTCGGATAATTTACCAAGTGTTTATTCCAAACTAAACATTGGCAGTGCTCCTTCGGCTATTTCATGTATTATCGGTATTATTAAGTTGAAGATTAACAAGTATGTTATTATTGCAGACAAACATACGGTTACAGGGTCTGTTTTGGGTAAGGAGATTGCACATGTTGATTCGTTTAAAATTCTTCCTTTGAGTAATGATTCGGTTTCTAAAAAGGATTCAGAAGAATCAAGCTACCTTGATTTGTTACACCAGCACTTGTCGAATGCCACGTTGTCTTATTCTATTGATAATGCGTACGATTTGACCAATTCGTTGCAGAGACAATTCACGTCGAAACCTGTAACTTATGATCATAGATTCTGGTGGAACTCGTACTTGTGTGAGGAGCTTGTAGAAGCGACAGCGACCGATTTCGTGACGCCGATCATATACGGATACTTCAAGTCGCATGCGGCAGAGTTTAAGGGCCACCAGTCTTTAGAATTTGCATTGGTAACCCGTCGTTCAATCAAGAGAGCAGGTACTAGATATTTCCGTCGTGGTATAGATGATGGTGGGAACGTGGGTAATTACAATGAAACAGAACAAATCTTAACTACGCACGATAGCCAGGTATATTCGTTTATTCAGACCAGAGGTTCTGTTCCGGTCTATTGGTGTGAAATCAATAACTTGAAATATAGACCAAACTTGGTGGTTTCTACAAAGTCTTCGGCCGAGGCATCCCAAAAGCACTTTGCAGAGCAAATTGAAAAGTACGGTGAAAACTTCTGTGTTAATCTCGTTAATCAGAAGGGCTATGAATTGGCGGTTAAGGAAGCATATGAGAATGCTGTTGATACTTTACCACCGAATTTGGCTGATCATGTCAAATACATCTATTTTGATTTCCATCACGAATGTCGTAACATGAGATGGGATAGAATCAGTCTCTTATTGGAGCGCTTGATTCAGTTGGGATACACCAGTGATAATTACTTCCATTTTGATTTAAAGTCGAGTTCCATTTTATCAACCCAGGATAAAGTTGTCAGAACCAACTGTATGGACTGTTTGGATCGTACCAATGTGGTTCAGTCTACGCTCGGACGTTGGGTCTTGCAAAATCAATTTATCAAGTCTCATTACTTACAAACAACAGATGCAGCCCCATGGGAAATATTAGACCCAGGCTTCAACTTGTTTTTCATGAGTTTCTGGGCAGATAATGCCGATGCCGTCTCGTTTGCTTACTCGGGTACCGGTGCTTTGAAGACGGACTTCACTCGTCTCGGTAAAAGAACGCGAGGAGGTGCTGTGGCCGATTTAATCAACTCAATAACCCGTTATTATAGAAATAATTTGAAAGACGGTACTCGTCAAGATTCATTCGATTTATTCTTGGGTAATTACAGACCTTTCCGCGATTCCCTCACCTCTCCTTTTATTGACAGAAGACCCCCATACATCCAATTGTTACCGTACTTAATGTGCACTTCCTTGTTGGTTCTCTTGGCCATTTTATGGTATCCAAGGGGCTCCATCACCGATTGGAAAAATATGTTTGTTGTGGGTGCTTGTGTTTTCTACAACGTGAAAAGTTTGGCATATCTCAATAAAAATGGATACCAATTTGTCAATTGGCCTAAGTTAAATAAATTAGATTTCATTAAAAAGGTTGATGTATTTGATGGCGAAGGTAAATTTACTGGTATTAGATATGAAGAACAAGATAACTTCAAGACTGTGGGAAAGAAGATGACTTAATTTCAACCTGCCCCCATCGTTCATACTTTTTCTTCACCACATGTATTATTAAGATGGTTCCATTTATTTATTATACCGTTTTACTACACACTACAACGTCTTATTTTATTTACTTCATTGTTTAGAAGTATTTTATAGAGAATATATGATATACCTTTTGATTTTGTGTAACTAGTCTCTGATATCACCAAATTCGAATAATTCAGCGATTTATGGGCAAATGATCGAACTATTCTTCAGTAATTAATATTCTTAATAATAATAAAACGTACTATGTCTAATCCTATATTGGAAAAATCGTTAGATGAAATCATTGGCGAAAAAAAGCCGGCAAAAAAATTTCCACATGGGCCAAAAAGAGGTAACTCTAGAATCAATAAACCAGTATGTATCTAGTAATATGGCAATGAGGAAAATAGGTTACTAACTCATTCAATCAGCATCAAAGACCAAAAGGTCCACATGGAAGAAATGATAGGCCAAGACCGTCGAGTTCGGTTCCAAGAGAAGTTACAGCTATTTCTAAGTCAAAGCCTATTCTTAGAGTCAAGAATATTCACCCGGATTTGAATGGAGAAGATTTATCTAACTTATTCGATGGCGTCGCTCCGGTCGAGTTTGTTAAATTTGATCCTAGAAAGGATGATGTTGCATATGTCTGTTTCCAATATGATCATAATAAGAACAACTCCATAGCCATCTCGAAATTCGACGGCAGAAAAGCTATGGGTGAAAATTTGGTCGTAGAAAGTGCCACGTCGTTAGCAGACCGTATAGTTGCTCCTAGGGGAAATACAAGAGGTCCAAGAAACGCAGCTCCTGGAGGAAAACCACAGAATCCATTGAAGAAGAAACAAAAGCCACAGAAGAAGTCGGTTGATACATTGGATGAAGAGCTTTCCGCTTACATGTCTGGTAAGAGTGAAGAGGAATTGAAAAAAGAATCGAAAGTGAACAAGCTTGATAATGAAATGGATAGTTATTGGAGCAATAAGAATGAAAATGATTCTAATGCAGCAAATGAGAATTCTAATGCAAACGCTAATCAGCCTGATGATACAGCAGACGAAATGAAATTGGATTAAGTTATTATTTACATAAAAAAGTCTTTCTAAAATAAACTGTATTATTATATCGAGCATGATTTGTAGTAAATGAAAATTAATAAGATCAGGGTTACGGAATTAACTGGAGTTTTAACAAATTATAGAAAAAAATCACGATAACTAAAGAGAAAAAAAAATGCTTAAAATTCTAACCCATACCTTGGGTTAATTCAACTAAAGAGATATAAATTCTCTTTGTTCTTCTTCTCCACGACTTACCCCAATATAATGCTGGAATGATGAAGGCAATAGAAACGAAATCGATGACGGCCAATACAATATATGTGTTTGCGGTACCTGAACCATCTAACCAATACGAACAAACAAATGTGAAAACACAGGCTAAAGTATTGTTGATAATAGAAACCCCGACCATACCTTGAATAACAATATCAGGATATGAATCCATCAAATATGACATAGCGGTATCACCAATCGAACCCCAACCGAAACCGATAAATCCTAAGCCGACGTATATAGCTTCACGAGGCCACACTTTGTCGGCCCCTACCCCAAACATAATTAAACCGGCAGGAGAAATCAACAAGGTAATGAATAATAACCATAATCTGAATTCCGGTTCTGATACACCATCATTACGCTTAGCCATCCATAAAACGTGCTTATCTGAAAGAACACCAGACATGTAACAACCAATAACAGCCCCAATCAAAGTTGCCACATTCATAACAGCTACTCCAGTTTCAGTGTAATTCCATGGATCGTCATAAAAGAAAGTATCTTGAGTCGTCAAGAAAAATGTCATGTACGCATCTTGTAACCCCCACAATAATCCTGAAAGCCATACAGCAGGAAGAGTGAATACCTTGAAGTAAATAACAAATCTCCGTAAATATTGTTTAAACCCAAAGCCTTCCAAATAGGGAGATGGTGTAATTAATGCGATTCTCTTACGATATGGTAATAACGGTTCTTTTGAAGCTTGTGATTCGTGTTCAATAGGTGCAAAAACTCCCTTGGTTTCATCTGGGCTAACCTGCAATGGTTCGTCGTTATGATGCCCCTTTTCAGCTTCCTTTTCATCATCATTCTTTTCGAGTTTATCATTCTCCTCAATATGATGGTCGACTGAACGAGATGATTGGTAAACGGGGAAATATTTCGATCTGTCAAACACTGTTTCCTCACAACCGAAAAATAAGACGATTAATGTAGCACCACAAATTATGGCACCCCACCAGCCAACCCATCTGAATGTGAGCGATTGTGAAATCAAATGAGCGATCAAAGGAGCCAAGAATGAACCTACCGAAGTGGCCAAAATATACACCGTCAAAACAGACCCCAATTGATGCTGGAAGAAAATGTCTGATAACGACTGTTGGACCTGGGCCTCTGCACATGCTTCGGACATACCCACAAATGCCTGCGACCAGATGGTGTCCGACGTCCTCCGTGATAACGCAAACCACACCGACCCCAAGCAACCCGCAAGAAGACATATCAAGTACGTGATACGTCTTCCATATAAGGACGAAGCAGGAGCAAAGAAAATACACGACCATCCAATGAAAAGGAATAATACCCCGGCCCCCGTGTTCATTGAATCGTACGAAATCCCGTATATCTTGTTCAACGAGTCCTGCGCTGCCCCTGCATCATTGGAAACTGCTGCAGTGAGCCCAGTGATGAACGAAAGGATAAAGAAATGCCACATTTTCCGCGGAATCGACCAGTTCAAAGGGTCGTTGGGAGATTCTGATGGCTGCGGCAACAAAATCACCCCCTTCTTATTCTTCTTCACCGGCCTGCCGCTCGATGACGAGTCGAAAGACGAGTCGTCGGCCGAACTAAAAATGTTTGTAGTCCCCGGAACGAAATCCTCATCGTAAAATTTTGCAGTAATTGTAGTATTCATCAATATCGTCTTTTGCGTTGATTCTATCAATCGTACCTATCCCAAACTACAAAGTATGTCTCTTTGTCTCTTGTCTAGTAAAATAATCTCCAGTATTGGCTTTTTGGTTCGCTTTTTCCTTCTTTCTTAAGTAAAGAGAAAAATTGCAAAAAATAGAAACTTTCAGTGGTTAAGTCAGAAAAACATTGTCAACTATCAAAACCAACAATTAAAAATAATATTAAATATACCACGGTTATCTAGCTTAGCTCAAAATCCAAAAAAAACTTACAAAGATCTAGTCTATTAATTGCACAATTTTTTCCTCCCTTCTATTATCATAAGAGCTGAACCTGCCAAAAAAAAAAAAAAAAAAAAAATTAAAAAAAAAAAAAAAAAAAAAAAAAAAAAAAAAAAAAAACAAAAAAAAAAAAAAAAAAAAAAAAAATTCAAAAAAAAATTCTGAAGTAATTTTGGTAATTTCACACGACCTCGTTTTTCCTAGCCGATTTGATTCTCTTCACATTTGATAGTATATACAATAGACGGTATCAGGGAGATTGGTTAGGATTTCAGGATTATTTGATCGAATCCATCGAAACCCGTATTGTATTAATGCAGCCATTGATTCAAAAAGATCTTTTAACTTGGTGTGATGATTTACATCAAGTTAAAGGGAATATTTCTCAATTGCAAGCCACTCTTAATCAAATCTTAACGAAAGCACCAAGTTTGGATCAATATAGAGAATTATCAACGTATTTAGATAATCCAAACAAGGGTGATGCGTCAAGTATTATCGACAAGATCAGGAATTTCTTGAGCTCTTCACAATTAAAAGTAGCGGTTAGAATGAAATTTTTGTATGATCAGGGATTATTGCCATTTCTATTGGCGTTATCCCAGATAAATTTCAAATCTGTGAAATCGGATAAGTTTGTGGGCTACTTGTTGGATTACACGCCGCCGCGGGATATTGGGAGCAATTTGGCGAGGGTATTGAAGCAGAGGGTGAATTCGGGCAAGCAGGTGAATATTGAGTCGTTTCCGCCGGTGTTGCCCCCAATATCGAATGAGAGCTTGTTGAATAAGATTCTCACGGACAAGTCGTTCAGACAGCCGGCGGACTTTTTGGAGCTGGACGATGCTAACGACTTCAACCGGTCGCACAATGCCAAGTTAGGGTTGAGAGGGAAGAGGTTGTTAGAATTTGCATTAATCGAGATATTGGACGAGAAGCTTCCTGATATCCACGAGGACGATTTGTACTACTTGCAGTTCAAATTGGTGTCGACGTCCATTCTCACCAAACTAGCATTCGGATATAATTTGGCGGACAATTACAAGTTTCACTTTTCCAAGGAAATGAATCTAGATGATAAATTGGCAAAATTAAGTAACATATTCTTGGCGTACGTTGGAGGATTGGCGTTGGATGGATATTCTTTTGCAGAAATTAAGTTATGGATTGCGAAATTGTATGAGCCCATAATACAAGATTTCAATGAGAATAACGACACCTTGAAGCCATTAAACAAATTAGCATTGATCGAGTTGAACTTCCTATTCAAACAGGTAACAAACTTGTACTACATACCACCGCAACAAACGACTCTCGAGTTCGAAACGTTGGAAAACGATCCCCACGTAGTGAAATTGTCCATAAATAGCCAGACGTTGGGTATCGGTACCAGCAGCATAGGCGTTGAGGAGGCCAAAGTCAAGGCTGCGTCGGATGCCCTCTCCAATAAGCAGAAACTCGACGATATAATCAGGATCATGATCACATCGTACGAAGAGCTGCAGAAGTCCAACCAGAACACTCCGGGACCTATATCTACAAACAATAACAGCAGCAACGACGACGACGACGATGACGATGACGATGACTACAGCAAACACAACAATGACAACGAATCGTTGACCGAAGAACCCTACTCGCCAAAAATAGACTCCGAAGAAGAATACGAGCCGTCGATTGAAGGGAATGCGGCAAGCAACCAAGTGAGTGCCCCAGGCCAAAGCCAAGACAAACAGCCCGCGGCCTACGCCAACGACAAAATCCATCCGCATCCCTACAGCACCTTCCCGGTTCCTCACCAAACACCCCAGCCGTACGGGGCCCCTCCTCCACCTTCACACCAAGCCCAGTTCCAACATCACCAACATCCTCCTCACCTCCCAAACCTTCCGTCGCTTCCTCCATATCCCGCAGCCGCATTAGATGCAAAATACCCCCTCGACAACAACGCCAAAAATACCTTGTACGCCGTGCTAGGGTCCAACCACCTTACCCCGGTCTACAGATTCAACAAAGTTGGCAATGACTTCCAGGTCTCCATCGTGGTGAACGACATAGTCATTGGCGCCAGTGTCGACTCCAACAAAAAGGCTGCAAGTCAACGGGCTGCAATGAACGCACTTTCCAACAAATCCTTACTTAATCAATTAGGTGTGCACATTTAGTAGTAGGCCCCATGATTAGATCCTGGATTACTCCGTTGATCCACCATTTCCGTCCCTCTCTCCCATGCGCATATATACATATATCTACATCAAGCTGCTCTCACACCGTACCTCTCTATATATACACTACAATTCATAAATCTCTACGTGAATACGTGCATCCTGATCGCATTTTAACCGAATTAGTAATGGTTATTGTGTCCCTGTAGTTAGCCAAATATTGTTATTGTATTAGAGCCACGCTCAGGAAAGAAAAGAAAAAAAAAATTATTCCCGAAATCGACCGAGAACTGAAAAATTCGACGATTTAAATTCAACCATTTCCTCCTTAAAATTTTTTTTATTGTTTTCCATATTGATATACTAAATTCCTAGTTTATTTAATATATAGATACACATAGATATTCAAGATGGCTACTCCTCAAAGTCAAACTTTACCAACATATACCGTCGGTGATTACGCTTCATTTGCCTTAGCTGGTGCTATTGGTTGTGGTGCCACCCACGGTGCTATGACCCCAATTGATGTTATCAAGACTAGAATTCAATTAGAACCAGCAGTATACAACAAGGGTATGTTCGGTTCATTGAAGAAGATTGTCGGTACTGAAGGTGCTGGTGCTTTATTAACCGGTTTAGGTCCAACTGTGTTGGG